ACAGATTAATTTGGTAGTAGATCTTTACCTGAACTGGTGTGAGGCTGTTTATAGTCTTAGTTCATACTTTTTGATGCAGAAATTTGATGGCTCGATACAGGGTGCTGCCCAGACCTCACAGGTTACGTATTATAAAGTGTCAGTTGCGTGTCAGGTATGAGCGCCATGTTGTCTTTCTAAAATTTAAAGAATTTTCCAAAACACTTTTGACCCCAAGAGTTTCAGATGAAAAAGTTGAAGTTAGGTTAAGTGTTTGTTCAACCCTTTGCTGCTGAGTTATGTATAAGTGGATTTGGAAAAAAAAAGCCATATATGCTTTTTTCAACACTTTAAGGGCCCGTTGAGTGTTATTTAGCCCATTGTTTCAGTTTGTTAGCCTTGCAGATACTTGTAGAGTTGTAGAAAAAGCCTCAAGAAGAGTGTGTTGTGTTGTATTTGAGACAGAGCCTCTGTCGCCCCAGCTGTAGTGCAGTGGCATGATCTTGGTTCATTGCAACCTCCACCTCCCACGTTCAAAAGATTCTTATGCCTCAGCCTCCTGAGTACCTGGGATTACAGGCACGTGCCACCACGCCAGCCTAATTTTTGTATTTTTACTAGAGGTCGGTTTTTGCCATGTTGGCCAGGCTGGTCTTGAACTCCTGGCCTTAAGCAATCTGCCTGTTTCGGTCTCCCAGAATGCTGGGATTACAGGTGTGAGCTATGTGCCTGGCCAAGAAGAGTGTTTTTAAAGTCAAGTTCTGAGTCTTTTACAGTTTAATCATCAATAAGCTTCAAACCATTTCTCCCCTCTTTCTGGTTCTGTCCAGGGAAATACTGTGATTATTTCCTTTGGAGTATGTACTGTGTTTTAGTATCTTCAGGTAGAGCTGAGCAGGGGGAGGGAGTCAAGGTGACTTACACTGCGGCGTTAAGGTTGGAATTATTCCCCTTTATCCTTGGCCATTTAGGAGGCAGTCTTAGCAGGACCAGAATAGATCATCTGATAAATTTCTCGTGAATAAGGAGGATAATGGTGATAAAAATCTCATAAAATTAAAAATAACAGGAGTCTTTGAAGCATATTAAGCTAACATATCTTTCTCTTCAAAGCAACATACTTTTTTTTTGGTCCAGGATGCCTCACTCAGAGAAAGAAAGTGATCTTTTTTCCAAGTTAAAATCCTCCACGTAGAAATAAAAACGCTTTTTACACTGTTGGTGGGAGTGTAAGTTAATTCAGCCATTGTGGAAGATAGTGTGGCGATTCCTCAAGGATCTAGAACTAGAAATACCATTTGACCCAGCAATCCCATTACTGGGTATATACCCAAAGGATTCTAAATCATGCTGCTCTAAAGATAACATGCACACGTATGTTTATTGCGGCACTTCACAATAGCAAAGACTTGGAACCAACCCAAACGTCCATCAGTGATAGACTGGATTAAGAAAATGTGGCACATAGACACCATGGAATACTGTGTAGCCATAAAAAAGGATGAGTTCATGTCCTTTGCGGGACATGGATGAAGCTGGAAACCATCATTCTCAGCAAACTATCACAAGGACAGAAAACCAAATACCACATGTTCTTACTCATAGGTGGGAATTGAACAATGAGATCACTTGGACACAGGGCAGGGAACATCACACAC